GGAACGATTATACCTGAATATATGGAGTCTCTGGAGTGACCGTTTAGATCAGTTCTTCTCAACCTTTTCCGATATTATTCACCCCTATAAGTTTTTCACAACAGCTCACTCACCTCAGTTCGAAAATAGACAAAAAAGTTTATTATGTCTCAAATATGCATCAAACTACAACTAGAATAAATAATAATAACTAGCCTACATTTATGTGTAAACTGCCCTCTGGTGTAGAGATATATAAAAGGGCATTTAAGTGATGTATCATTCCTCTAATTAAACTTTTATTTTCCGAAAACGATTAAAAATATGTAAGAGAACAATTCCTTATAATGTAAAGGTCTACTTTCTACCCTCAAGTTTATATTTTCAAAACTTTTTAAAGCAAAATCTCGATTTATATGTTGAGGATCAACCAAGCTTTCTTTAGGTGTGTGTCGTTAGAAGATTGAAATTAAATACTTGTTTTCATTGAATAAAACTTGTTAATAGAAAATAAAATGGAAAGGTTTTTCTAATTGTAGACCAAGTATACCAATTAAGAAATATGTGTTTGTCGTAGGGGCGATTTAAAGTCATAACAGTTTAATTTTGCAGTACTATGCACCTCTATTGGCTCAGCGGTAAGTCTGTAGGTTTATAACGCTAGCGCCTCTATTGGCTCAGCGGTAAGTCTGTAGGTTTATAACGCTAAAAACCAGGTTTCCATACTCATGGTGAACACAGCACAGATAGTCCGTTAGGGGCTTTGCCTTTAACAAAAAATAAAGAAACAAAGATACTACTTATTTAGCGTCGTTTGTAATTTAAAGATTTTTCGAAACTATAAATATTGAAAGGTAGATCGCTCAACATTGACACGAACTTAGAATAAGTGAGAAGCTGTTAAAATTAACTTAATCTTCAAGTAAAGGAAATATTTATCTGGTCTATAAACTTATAGAAGTGCACTTCCCATCTTTAACTATTTATTTGATGAAAAAAAACTCAAACATTAACGATATTAATAAATCCCAGAGGGTAGAAAATACAAGATGAATCATAAAATAAGAAACCCAATAATTCGAGCGTATTCAGTATTAGTATTTATATTTTCAACCTGAACAGCACCTTATGCGGCACATGAGCTAAAAGGCTAAGTCGGATATTTTGAGATTCGAGCGTAGTCATTCCTAATATAGAACTGCTGAATAAAAAGGAAGAACAACCAGTCTGCAGCATTCATCGACTTCTCTTTACCGAATACTGGAATTGAGTGCCAAATTATAATGCCCTTTCTGAAAACATCATTTGATTATTTATTATCTTGTCTAATTTGGTTAAAGCCTTATAATCTAATTTGTTGTTGACTTTGTTTCATAAAAAAAATATTTAACACTCTGAAAATAAGCGAAATTGTTGATAGATTCTACTTTTCTGAAATGGTTTGGATCAGCCAATAGCTAAACTATTTAAAACATAAGCCAACAGATGGCAATAAACTCGAAAACGGAACACGAATCTATATTAAATTAAAGATGCTTTTAACAGTGGGAATTTTAAGAGTGATATGCTATCTTTTATTATTAAAAATTTTTTAAACAGATGATAACGGGCTGGAATACGTTCGGTCTTAGACTTGTTTTCCTTAGAAAATTTCTTACACTAATAAATAAACGGATTTTATGTAACACTGAGAACTAAATGAATAATATAACTAAAAATACACATATATAAACGAAGATTGGTTTGGTTGGTATGAATTTTGCGCAAAGCTACACGAGGGCTATCTGCGCTAGCCGTCCCTAATTTAGCAGTGAAAGACTAGAGGGAAGGCAGCTTGTCATCACCACCCACCACCAACTCTTAGGCTACTCTTTTTCCAACGAATAGTGAGATTGGCCGTCACATTATAATGCCCCCACGGCTAAAATGGCGAGCATGTTTGGTGTAACGGGGATTCGAACCCGCGACCTGCAGATTACGAGTCGAGCGCACCTGGCCATGCCGTGCCGTAAACGACATCGTTTCAAAATAATTTTCTTGAATAAAAGCATTTTACAATAGTTTGAACTTAAACCGTATTCGTTTTCGGAAAATTGTGTTTTTTTCTTCATTTTTAACAAACATATAGTAATATATAACATATGAAACAACTGATCACAATTTATTTGTTGAGAAGCAGTCAAAACCTTTATAGACGAGTATGTGTAGTTAGGAGACTAAAATTTGATATTTTTTTTATCATTGTATAAAATTAATTAGTAGAGAAAATAACATATTTTACTATCAACCGTGAAAAGGAATTATTAATGGTAGACCAGCGAGTCTACTTGATATGAAAAGAGTTGCAGTTTGCTTGCACTGTTTTAAATTTGTTAAGCCTTTTGTGTTGTCTATTGTTGACTGTACAATAATTTCTCTTTGTAAGTTTGTATTTTTATAATATATATGTTTTCTAGCAAATATATCTGGAGTTGAACATATATCATAGGATATTAGACCTATGGAGTCGTTGACACAACTTATATTGATCTTTAAACTCGTGGGGCTAGGGGGGAATAAACGTGTATGTGTTATACTTGGGAGATTTTTGTTGGTTTATTGAATTTCACACAAAGCTACTCGGGGACTATATTTGCAAGCTGTCCCTAATTTAAAAGTGATAGACTATAGAGAAAACAGCTTGTCAACAATACTCGCAGCCAATTATTGTATTTCTATAATGAGACTGACCGTCACATTATAACGCCCACCATAGCTGAAAGGGCGAGCATATTCCACGACAGGATTCGAATCCGAGATTCGCAGGTTATGAGCCGAACGTCCTAACCACCATGCCATGCCAGAACTCGCTTTGGAAGCTATAACCTGTTGATTTCCATAATTACACGGAAGTGCTTGAATATTACAGCAATATTTCAGTCCCGCTGAAATTTCACATGACCAGGTACAAGTTAATTGCTATTCCATAAGCAACCCTTCTTATTGACTGTTTTTATTCTAGACAATATTATATGACAACGCATGGAAGCTCGTTATAGCTATGTATACGATTTGAGTTTCTAATTTTTGTCTTTTCAGCTGGTATTGAAAGAAATGTCTTCGATCTTCACCTGTAATTTTTTTCAGTATACTCATATTTATTTCCAAGGATATGACAATGATGACTCTGTGTTACAACTAAGGCGATATTACCATTAATTTAATTTTAATGCTCGTTGTGCTGAAATAGTCTTTAAACACAAAGAAGTGTACAGGTGGCGTGCAGTCAGTATTGTAAAAACATTACATAAAAATTGTTTGCGACACGCGAAAATAAAGACCAGATGTGTGACAGATTTAGTATGGTTAACATATTATAACATATTCTTCATGGGTTTTTTATAATTATAAACTGATTTTGATAAAAGAGATCACAATTATAAAACATTTCACCATTTTTTCCATCACAAATGTTCAAATTCTTTTTGGGTTAAATAAAATATTAGAATAAAACTATCAATTACTCGTTAATAGTAAATAAATATATACAAAAAAATACCAATTACTCCTTAATAGTAAATTAATATATTAAAGTGACAGGTAGTTGTAAGTTGGTTGCTGGATTTTTTTCCCCTTTCAATCTGTGATAGAAAAACTGTTTTAGTCCCTATCGTAGACCATCATTATAACTATCCAGTCGAATGATCTGGACTATTCCGACGTAAAAGACGTTTGTCTCTCTGTGAATTATGGTACATTATTCTAACAGCGAGAATAACATAACCATAGCCAGAACCTTGGTCGACTTCTTCTTTTGTTTTAGCTGGCATTAAGTTTTTTGTATTAGTATATTAAATATTAATCTTTAAACTTGTTTGTTGGCAGTTTAAACACAAAGCTATACACAATGGGTCATCTGTGCTCTGCCCACCACGGGTATCGAAACCTGGTTTCTAGCAGGGTGGGGGGTGGGGGCTCTTTAAACTTAAAGTATGCGATTAAACAACATGTAGACATATAAATGGTTTTCTTACAATTTGTTAAAGATTCAAAGTGCTTGAATACTAAGCAAAGATTAAAAAGTGAAAAACAAAACACTTTCACAGAAAATTAGTAGATTGAAAAAAATTATAATATTTTGTTAACACCAGTGATCATCATACACAAATGCTATTGTCTGATAGTTTAAGTAATATAACAAGATATGTTTAACATATAATTTAAAAATTCTAAATACCTTTTACTCTGGTAAGGCGAGATTTCATTGCTAGCACTTTTACTAGTAACAGTAGCAATGTAAAGATAAACTGCTTTGCAATAACATCATCCAGTACATGAGTAGTTTATCAAACTTCAAAGAGAAACGGGTTAACACATATAAAAAACAAGAACTTGCAAACGAGAATCGGACAAAATTCACTTAAGATATTTATTTAACAAAATTATGGGTCCCCCAATGGGACAGCAGTAAGTCTACAGACTTAAAACACTACAATCCAGTGTTCAGTTTCCTACAGTGGACACAGCAGATAGTTTAACGTGGCTATGCTCTACAACAAACAAACAAACAAAATTATGTTGCATTTCTGTCGTATCTTCATGAAACTCATTTTAACTAGTAAAGTTGAAGATTATAGTTAGTCAAAACAATCATTTACTCCATGCGTGTATGTAGGGAGAGTGCGATCGCATACCCTGAATTGCACCCATATATGTATTAAATATATTCAATCAAAATGTGTAAAAACAGACTCAGATACCATCAAACTGTACCATTTTCCCGAGGTGGCATACCCCAATATGGTTTCGTCATTCATTTCCTTTTTCCTCTAAAAAAGTAGCACCCCTTTATTAATTTCTGCCTACACCCATGTACTAGAGGTAAAATAACATTTCAAAACCGAGATTATTTTTATTGACAACATCGATCGAAACGCGAATGAGTCAATCCGAGATTTCGTCTGGTTGCGACTATGGTGCGAAAGGAGCATGCGCAAACGACATATTTTGTGTATCATGGCCATCCGGGTTTTCTTAACGCTGGGCGGGAAAGCAACGTTACATATGGTTCGACAGCAAAAATGGAGGTGTACTTACTTGTACAGGAGTATTTCGCCATTAATTACTGTCAAATAACGAAGGTAAGATTGCTGTCCTTTTGTTTCTATAAAGCATTTTAAATGTTATATTACAGAAAAATATCATACAAAAACTTTAAAAGTTCGGCTTCAAACTATTATGTTTCTACCGCCAAAACTATTCCAGATTGCGTCAGTGCTTAGTAGTAAATATTCTATTTCAGTGTTGCTAAATAGAGCTGCTGTTTCCATGGGCACGCGCGGTTATGTTGTCGATATGTGCATTAAGGTACGTGAATGGAGTTAGAATTAACTTGTTTTTTGATATGTTACTTCTCTTTGATGTAGCAACTTTTATTCCGAGCCGATTAACGAACCTACTGTCTCTAAGTGCTTTTTCCTTTGTATGAACATACAGTTTTGATATCAGTTTGACACGAAGTTTCCACTACTCTAGACTTTTAGTACTACTCTTCCTACTACTAGTTTCATGCGCCATGAAATTGGCTAAGTGCCATAACTTTGTTTATGATGACAAAAGTCTAAGCCTAAAAAGAATGATGTTAAAAACAAAATCCAAAAGGTATAACACATTAGTAGGAAAATGTTAACCTTTTGTGAGATTTACGTTTGGTGTCATATAGTTTATATCTACGAGTAAAAAACGTCATTAACAATATAGTGCTAACATTCATTAACCTATAAGTATACTCATTTTTTCACTTGTAATTTTCATTTTTTAAGCATAATGATTTAAGTAATTTTTAACTGAAAAATTAATGTTTATAATTACTTTAGGTAAAATGTAAAAGGCTGCAACTGGATTAGAAAAGAACTAATATAACTGTTAAAATGTAAACAGAGCTGGTTTTATTTGTACACACGTTTTTTTTTTTGTCTTTTCCACAATAGGGATTTAGTAAATGTAATGGTTTTTAAAAATCTTCCACTGTCATTTTTATAGAAACAAAACAACTATTGACAATTTAAATTTTACTTTTAGCATGGGTAGAAAGTCAAAATGAGAAATGTCATGTTAAAAATTATTTCTCTTTGAAACAAATTAAGTGTTGCCCATTTAACATAAGTTAAAAATATCTTGAATATTTTTGCTAAATATTAGACTGATAAAAAATATTTTTAATCAAACTTAATGCAATATTTGAGCCTCCTTAAACACCCAAGAGGCAACTAGCTACTTTAGTAAACCAAACAACAACAACAAGAATATAGGTTGTAGTAAGTTTTGTAAACCTTTGCACTCATGTTTTAAATTTGAAATAATATAGTGGTGAAAGTTAACCAAATTGTACTTGGAATAATTTATTTTGTTATGTATTTTAAATATGATAGGACTTTCCATTCAATAATGTTAATGATATTTTTTAATGATGAGTATATAATACTGGTTAATAAGACAAAAAGTTACATCTCTTAAAACATGAATCTTCTTTATATTCAAGCTAGGCTTATTAATTATTCAAAATTATAGGTGTGAAATCAAATGTTATCTTGGGATTTAATTAATGAAACAATTTATTATTGATCATGTATTTTTGGAACTGTTGCTAGGAAGAGAATAGCCTTCAAATATTTGTTAAGCAGTGAAATCTTTGATAACTAGTTTGAGATAGCATAATGTGAATGAAGGTGAGAATAAAAGAATGCATTCTTGGTAAAACAATGTGTTTAAACTTTTTGTGATTAGAACAAGGGGGGAATAATAGCCATGACACTTGAAATTCTTTTATGCAGGATTAAAGTAAATTAACCTATGATACATTTTTTTCCCCCTGTTTATTAGTTATATTTTTGTGCACCAGCAACACCAAGCATGGGGTGCACCTATACCCAATTTAATTTTATTACTCATCAGGATCTTTACCAGCCTACCCTCAAATTGAAATTATTTTAGGCAAGATTAGAGTAAATTATTCTGTGAGACCTTGGGCATGGTCAAATACACCAATTGAAAGGGTTTGATTTCCTGAGTCCAAAACTGTAATTAGATCTCAAATTGGTCAAGAGATAACAGAGCTGCGAGTTAAAAATTTGTACTTGAAATAAACTCTGAGCCAATATGCTGCTGCTTCTAAAAATTTGTTTCACCATGAAAAATCTAAATAGTTTTTTTTTCTGTTTCTTATTGCTGAGGAGGTGTCATGTGACATTCACGTGGGTGCATTTCTAAAGTTTCAAATAGCATCTGTATTGACATTGTTAATTATGTGACTTATACTGAATCAATGATCACAATATGGAAAATAGTTGACTAGACATAATTTATGTTGGTGTTGAATACAATTATAATTTTGAAAGGTGGAATGCTATTAAGTTAATTTGTAAAACAATTTTCATAATATCCTTATTGAAGATTGTATGAAGAGTGGGGGAAATTATGTTATATATATTTTAGCTTATAAATAAATTTTGCTTATCATAAAATTACAAAAATGCCATGTGTAATTTGTTGTCAGAAAAGCTTCTACTCAGAAGTTTGCGTGTTAATGTTTTGGCTCTATATATATAAAATTTTCCAAATTATAACATTCCAGTAAATATAATGAGTTGTGATAGGTGTACATTGTAGTATATTTTCTTTGAGATATTTTTGTTAGGAAATGGGAAACTTATAATTTTAAGATTAATTTTTTTTTATTGTAAACCTTGAAGGAAAACATTTGACTAATAACACTAATATTTAAATTGAGGTAGTTTTCTTCATTTACATTGTCAAACTTTTTTTTCAAGTACTACGTCTTTCAGGTATACATGCTTAACTATGTCAACAAAATCGGAAAGATTTGATAATGCTGTTTTTTTGTTATGTCTGCGTCCTTTTTCAATTTGTAAAACCTTATGGTGGTCTTTTGGGACGTGTTGATATGTTCAAGTTCAAAAATAGATACATCTGTTGCTTGTGGGCTGAAGTTACCACTCATCAGTATGCCTTGTATCTGTTTAAGGATGTATGAGCCAAATCATATGAATGTGTTAAGTAAAAAGAAAAAAGGCTTGTGTGAATTTATTTGATGTAAAATAGTAATAGTTTTTATGGTGAGTCTTATCAAAAAAGCATTAATATCACCTACTCAGTGCATTAATTTTACAGTGTTGTGAAAAGATCTTTTAATTGCAGACTTAAGTTTTTCAGTGATTTTTATGTAAGGACAAGCTGGTATCAACGTTGTTGAAATATAATGTCTAAAATAGATTTAGCCTCAAAAGATTAACTTTTGTTTGCATTCTATGAAATATTGGATAATTATGAATGGATTAATACCTGTTCTTTCTTTTATAATGCTACAATTTTTCTTGGGAGTTTTGCACTCTACTACAGTTAGTGAACATTGACCTTTCTGGGGCCAGTTTGAATCTGAACATAGAAGATATTTAGAACAGGTTTACTTCATCCCTGAAGAATGACTTGTTTGATCTGTCAAGACTAGTCAATTATTTTATGTCTCTTTGATGATTTGTGCATTATTACACTGATGTGTTATTACTGTTTGTACAAAGTACTTCTTTAGCAAGCAATCTCTAACTCTCAACAGTAGTAGAAATGGTCAAGACTATTCAATTATTTTATGTTTCTTTGATGATTTGTGCATATTACACTGATGTGTTATTACTGTTTGTACAAAGTACTTCTTTAGCAAGCAATCTCTAACTCTCAACAGTAGTAGAAATGGTCGGGCACTTTCTTGGAACCATGTCTGCTATTTAGTCTTTTTTTCGGAAAATCTAGAGGTATGTGCATTATTTTATGAGGAATCCAGAGGGTTATGCCAACCTAGAATTGAAGAACATCCAAAGAAGTTATGATTGTTTTTGTGAGTAGAGTGGGGTGATTGTTTTTTTTTACCCTGATTTGAACAATGATCATGGTATTGTTGTAATACATTATTTATGGAACATTCACGGTTCTTAATATTTTTCTAAAACCTGTGAGGAACTGCTGAGACAACAAGCCAGAATCTCTGACCTTTTGTTGAGGTAGAAATGAGATCACATTCAAAGATAACCTGCAAATTTAAAGTAGCAAAATGTCTGATTTCTTACAAGTGTAGCAAGTGTGTATGTGATCAAGATGGCATACCAGTTGCTCAAAAGGTTAGCCATAAGAGAGGTCAGAGAAGTTTCAGCAGTGGTGCTTTCAAGCTCCCACACAAATGTATATCTGTCTCCATGAGCAGTAAGCTTACAGATGTGTCTGAAGTTTTGCTCTCAAGTGAGGATGAGAACAGGAGGAGAATGATTCTAGATCAGGTAAGGATTGGAAAATATGAAGTATTTTCTGGGTGAAGTGTAAGAATATTAAAAGAATAAGAGGAGAGTACTAAAATAGTGATGAAATAACTTGACAAGAATATTACAAAGATAAGAGGAGAGTATTAAAATAATGATAGAAATAACATGATAAATATATTACAAGGATAAGAGGAGAGTACTAAAATAATGATAGAAATAGCATGATAAGAATATTACAAGGATAAGAGGAGAGTACTAAAATAATGATGAAATAGCATGACAAGAATATTACAAGGATAAGAGGAGAGGAGAGTACTAAAATAATGATGAAATAACATGACAAGAATATTACAAGGATAAGAGGAGAGTACTAAAATAGTGATGAAATAGCATGACAAGAATATTACAAGGATAAGAGGAGAGTACTAAAATAATGATGAAATAACATGACAAGAATATTACAAGGATAAGAGGAGAGTACTAAAATAATGATGAAATAGCACGACTATATTGTGTGGCTGGTCTACTTTGGTAGATAGAAACTTGTTAATTACCACTCAGATAAAAGAAAACAGCATGGTAAAATGATCATGGATCATGCCTTATACAGTCATCTACCTCACCTGTTAGGCCTCTGGATTTTTGTATCTAATAAGGTACCCCACCACCTACCAAAATTGTCAAATTTTTTGCTGTTGAGTCAGAGATTGCTTGTTAAATACTTTTTCAGATGTTCTTTAATGTATTTAAAACATTCTTGACTCATTAGAATGAATAAATGTTTTGTAATAGCTTTTTGGTTCTAGCTATGA